CCAAGAGAAACATTAAATTAACGCGTATATATGTTTAGAAATTACGACGTGCACAGCGACAAATGGCCCGCCGCTCGCGCGCCGCCGCGGTCACAGTACGCGACGAGCGCAGAGGCGCGGACTGCGCATACACGCCGCGATTTCTTGCACTCGGACGACTTGGCAACCCAACGCTTGCACGCAGAGCGAAGGCGGGAGAGGAGGCGGTAACGGTCGAATCGCCGCGCGGCCGGTGATGAACATAGAATGGCGACTCGTGCATCGTTCAGATGGCAAATGTCGACATAAGAGATTAAGTTGGGTGCACGCCGACGGACGGTGCGCAGGTGAAAGCGTAGGAAGGCTTATCGGCCCTGCCAGCACCGGAATTGTTTCGCTAATAAAGAACGACTTACGCTTTCTGCAGCCCGAAAGTCGCTTGCTTCATTGTCTGCGAAGCATCCGCTTTAAGCTCCAACGACAATCACGGCGCGCATTGATGTCGAATATGGAACCGCGTCAGTCCATGCTGGCAGTATGGCCGGGAGGATGGGAGGGGTAGGGAGAGGAGGGTGGAGGTTAGGAGGGGTAGAAAGGAGAGGGTGGAGGGGGTGGAGGGAGGGGGAGCGCGGAGGATGAAAGCAGAGGGTGGAGGGGAGGGAGGGTAAGAACGGAAGATATTATACTAGGATTTAGTTATTATATAATCATCTATCTCGAGAACGTGGGTAGGTGATGCCGTTATATTCTGGATACTTCATAGGGCCTTATGTGATCACTATATAGTACTATATATATATCATATTACCTATATAATATATATATAGTGCGTGTGTGTGTGTCGTTAAATATACGCACCAACTGTCAACTCGTAATGCATCTAATTGCACCTGATATCTTGTAAACACGTTCAAAATTCTCACGTGATTTCAAGTAGAATACGTGATTAATATAAACAGGAACGTATGCGACGAGTTTGTAGTTCCTCCCCCTCTCCCCCTCCCCCCCCGCTACCCGCCACCCACAACCGACAGCAGCACAGCAATTTTCCCCCATAATCGATGAAAAACCCTGCGGGAATAAAGAATATGAACGTAGTATAACTGTCGTGAAGCGTATACGGGTCGCTGCAGCTGAGAGATTACCGCAGTAGGTGTGCGCAGCGAGACACACGTCCCACACGACACGGCACACAGACCACCCCGGGCCACGCAAGTGCACGAGCGCTGCCGATCCTCACAATGCCCCTCACGCTCTGCGTGGCCCAACGACCGCCCCAGCCCCAAGCGCCACACGCGACTAGGCAAAACACCACACAGCAACCGAAACGAACACGCGCAGACCCCATACACAACACGCACCCGCAGGCACACACACACAATACAACACAAAAAAACAAAACAACACACACACCGGAAAAAAAAAAAAAAAAAAAAAAAAAAGAAAAAACAAGAAAAAAAAAAATAAAAAAACCAGCCCCCCCGCCCCACACGCTAACACGCCCGCCCCAACACAAAAAAAAAAAAAAAAAAAAAAACGCGCCGAACACACAACACACACACAAAAAAGAAAAAAAAAAAAACACCAAAAACCACAACAAAACAAAAAAACCACACGCGACCACAAAAAACAAAAAACAAGAAAAAAACAACAAAATAAAAAAAAAGAAACAACGCCCCCACCCCATCCCCCCGCCCCCAAAAACAAAAAAAAATGAAAAGGACACAAACACACCAAAAAAGAAAAAAGAAAAAAAAAACAAACCCAAAAACAAACAAACAAAAGAAGACCCACACACACACCGACAAAAAAAAAAAAAAAACCAAAAAAAAAAAAAAAAAAAAAAAAAAAAAAAAAAACACAAAAAAAAAAAGAAAAAAAAAAAAAAAACAAAAAAAAAAAACAAAAAAAACAAAAAAAACCACACGACACACACAGCCGCCGCGCGCGCGCACCCCCACGCAAAAAAAAAAACAAAAAAAAAAACAGAAGAACAGACCAACAAATAAACAAAAAAAAAAAGCAACAAAACAACGAAAAAAAAAAAAAAAAAAAAAAAGAAAAAAAAAAAAACAAAAAATAAAAGTAAAACCAACCAAACGCCCCCGGATCCAGAAACAAAACAGCAGAAAAACAAAAAAAAAAACAAAACACCACAAACCACAAACACACCCCCTGCCACCACACCAAAACAAGAAAAAAAAAGACAACAAAGCAAAACGCCCGCACACCACCACACACACGCACACACCACAAAAAAACCACCCACCGCCACGCGCCACCCCAGCCCACACCCACACCACACACACACCCGCCCCCCCCCACCGCACGACATGGACGAAAAACAGAAAAAAAGACAAAAAAACACAACACAACGTGAACAAACAAAAAAAACAAAAAGAAAAAAAAAAAAAAAAAAAAAAAGAAAAAAAAAACCAACACAAAAAAAAAAAAAAAAAAAAAAGAAAAAAAAAACAAACAACAAAAAAATAAACAAAAAAAACCAAAAAACAAAAAAAAACACCAAAAACAAAAACAAACCCACACACACCACACACCACACACCCACAACCAACAAAAAAAAAACAAAAAAAAAACAACTCGGCAAGGCACACACACACACACACGCGGCCACACACATGCACACAGCACCGGTGACACCACACGCACGACACACACACACTCGGCCGGCGACGCTCGACCGGTCGGACACGCACTCACACCGCCGCACACGCCACTCAGCACACCGCGCACACACACACACCACACACACACGGGGAGCACACCGCGCACCAAAGCACGCACATCATACACCCACTACCCATACCACACGCCCGCGCAGGCAGCAGCGCACTCACACACGCGACGCGCGGCGCGCACACAACCCAGCGACATAACACACGCATCACCGATCACACACGCCACACCACACGCACACACACGCACACCACCGCGTGTCGGCAAGAGTTAACATAGCCTCTGACCCAGATGGTCGCACAGCAAGCCAGGAAACTTGTTAGAAAATCCGTTACGCCAAAACAACGATGCGTAGTTGTCTTGTTTGCACTTCCGCTAGCGTGTTTGCGTTGGCCTTTATGGGCGTCGTCGGCGGAGAAGGCAGACGGCCATTCGTTCCCAGTGGCCGCAGGCGTGCGTGATCAGGCTTATGGCCGAGCGGAAATTCCAGCGCCTTTGAGATACGACAACAAAGTTTTTTACTTTTGTGTCTCGGACGGCGCGGGAGAGGGGGAGAGCGGTGGGGGAGGAGGAGGAGGAGAGGAGGAGAGGAGACGCGAGAAACAAGAGGGGGGGGGGGGGGAGGGGAGGAGAAAGGGAGGGAGGCAGGCGGCGGGATCGGAGCGAGGGGGAGGAAAGAGTAGGAGGAAGGGAGGAGGAGGAGAGGAGGGGGAGGAGGCGAGGGAGGAGGAGGGGAAGGGGAGAAGGGGCGGGACGAGGAGGAAGGGAGGGGAGGGGGAGGAGGAGGAGGGGTCGCGATGGCGGATGAAGGGGAAGAGGGAGGGGTGGAGATGGGGGCAAGAGGGAGGAAAGTGGTGGGTATGGAGGTATGGAGGTTGAAAGGAACGGGCGGAGTGAATGGAATGAGAGTCTGAACCTGTCAAGGATGGAAACTGAAAAGAAGAAGAAAAAGACAGAAACAAGATGAGCGAGAGGGAGGAGAAGAAATAAAATAGGAGGAAGGAAAAAATAAGGGAAACGGGGAGACGAATGATGGTAGACGTCGGGCGTGTAGGGCTTTCAATCGGGTTTAATCATTGAGTGCAGTGAGTACTCTGTTCGTGCGGTAACGGTTATTTACGGTAGGTTAGGTGCGATGAACGAGGCTGAGACGACACTGTTGTACAGCTTGAAACAAAAAAAAATACGCATGTGAATTGCTCTATATATGTAAGCTGTTATATGTTATGTATCACAGTAAACGCGCATGAATAACGTGAACGCACGCCGGAGCACGCACAAATGCAGCTCACGCACCTACCCATACACCACGCGCCGCGTCGCCGAACCGACGCGCACGGACCACAGTCCACACAAGCACGCTCACAGACACATACCCAACCACACGGCGCGCGCGCGCCGCACACAGACACAAATCACGCTCACACACACCAACCATTACAACGCACGCGCGCGCGACGGCCACGCCACGACACACACAAACCCAGCACCCAGGCCCCCACACCTCACACAAAGCACGCACAGCCCCAGCGCTGCCGGCGCTCATCACATCACACATCATACCACCCTCCCACCACAACACACACACACGACACCACAGCCACACCACACCAAACCACACCAACGCACCCTGGCACACGCACACATCGCGCGCACAGTGCGACCACACACACGCACACCACACCGCGGCACGCAATGACACACACCACACCACACACACACCACAATCCATGCACACAGAACGCACTGCCACCCGCGCTCACATCACACCACCACACACCACACACCCGCACGCGCACACACACGCAGCCATACACAAACGCGCACACAGACCCACGCGCATCAACACGCGGCGACGTCACATACACAACACAATCACACACACAACACCACCATACACACACGGCGCGCACACACACACCATACACACACATGAATACGCACACCCAACACACACACACACACACACACACACAACACACACATCGCACACACACAACGCATGGCGCACAGCACGCCTCACTTCACCACACACGACCCACACACAAGCACACACACAAGCCCACCACAGGCCCAAGCACCACACCACCACAGCGCGCGCGCCACCCCACACACATGCGGCGGCGCACGCACGCCAGCACACATTACACACGGCACGCGCAGCACACGCCACACAAACCCACACAAACACACATAAAACGAACACACCCACAACGCGCAACCTCACAGCCAGCACGCGACGCACGCTACGCAAACACACGTGCGCACAGTTGTCACGCGACCGCACGCACGCAGCATACGCCGCACGCACACATTCACACCAGCCACGACACTCACGCAGGCGCGTGTGTGAGGCAATGTATATCATACGGTATTCCTTGACAATAAAAATCGATTATAGGGTCGTGTACCACTGTGCATGTCCAACCGAAGCACTCATTTTGGCGATGGCAATAGCGGCGGCTCCTGTGGGTGTAGTTACGGCTCGTGATTACGTTAATCCTCTCCATACCTGCCATCTTCTCTATACGGCGGATTCCTTTCTCTCTGTCGGGGAGCCGACATCCAACGACGACTGTAGAAACCGTGGCAGGAGTGGCCGATCGCGTCATACACAACAGCACAACCACACGACACAGCCACACACACACACGCGCACGCAACGCACACACGCGCACGCGCACGACACACGAACACGCGCCACACACACACAGCACATCACGCACACCAGCACATAACAATTCGCGCGTACACACAACAACACACAACACACACCACACACAGCACATGCACCGCACAGACACACGCCACGCAGCGCACTACACGCACACCACGCACACACACACACCACACACAAGCACACACGGCGCAACGACCGCACAATACACGCACACACTACACGCACACACGGACACACATACGCGCGCTACGCAGACACGCGCACACACACCGCGCACGTAACAACGCACCAACGCGCCCGTACACGCCATACGCACCACCGCCACCACGCGCACGTACACGATACGGAACACACCACGCACACGCACCACATTGAACAAAATGACGCGCCGTACAGACACGCACACACCCACGACACACACAACAACACGCACACAGCACGCACACACAACACACGCAGCGCGCAACACACCCATGCACGACACACCGCACCACACAGCGCGCACGGCAGCACCGCACACGCACGCGCCGCACGCACGCCGCACGCACCACGACACACGCACAGCAACACACATATGCATTATATTATTTCATTATCTTTACGGTTAAAATACGTTCATTACATAAATTAGTATTATTAATTATATTATATTAGTATTATTTATCGATTATATTAATATGCAATATATTATAAATTATATTATATTATATTATATATAGCTATATTATAATTATATTATATTATATTATATATATATATATTATATATAGTTATACTTATATTGATATTATATTATATTATTTATCTATATCATATTATATTGTATTATATTATATTAATTAATATTATATTATATATATTATATTATATTAATTATATTATACTATATTGTATATGTATATTAATTATTATATTATTATATTATAATTATTTTGCTATTTTGTTAATGTATTATAATTATAATTATATTATATTATATTATATTATATTATATTACAAGTCTTAAAAATTTACCGCACTATAATTGGCGCACAGCATGTCACGTGCCATAAAATAAAACGAGTTGTCCCATTTACAAGTCATGTTATCCGCGAGAGGTGCCTGCGTTATTATAAACAGTTTGCTCGTCTCCGATGCGCCATAGATGTGCGACAAAGATTGTTCTAGACCAGTGCAGAGGGCAAGGATCAATTGAATATCGTAATAATGGCAATGTTAGTAAAACAATCCAGAATGTGATTGAAAAGAATCTGCACCTGTGCTATGAAATTACCTGGAGGCCGTAACCCATAATAATGTCCCCGCTAGATGTCACTGCGATTTACCTACATCTAGAGTCCCTATATACAGAGTCCCTATATACAGAGAGTAGCGCCAACTCAGGATTGTGACTCCATGTTGTTTCGCAAAATGTATCAACACCGCTGCCGCTTAAGTACAGCGCTGTTATCGGAATAGCGGTACATATGGTCCGAGCATCTAATTAGAACTAATCGTGCTTTCAATTAACTCCAAATTTACAGAGATTCATAGCTAAAGAATGTGTCTATGTGTATCTAGATTCTAGAAATGGTAACTCAATCATGTTTCGCCGCCATATGAAGTTTGAATTGTACAACTTTCTTATTGCCCATAGCCGTGCGTAATATTAACTGTGCGATACCGCGCGGTAGATACTTGACTAATTATTAAAACCCATCGAGCGAGACTTCATAAAGCTCAGAATCAACAGAGATCATAGATAACACAATGTGTTTATATGTATCATAGATTTCTAGAAAGTAAACTCTAAATCGTTCGCAGCCAGTATTGATAGCTTTTAAATTGTACACTTTCTTAGTGTAAACACACAGGTCTGTCCACTGTATTCACAAGATCAACATGCGTTCCACCTCTCCACTCGCCGCAGCTGTAATCTTGTTTCTTGCAGTTTCTATAAATCTAGCTCAACACATAGAACAAATGTCTTAGCTATAATCTGCTGTAAATTTAGTTTATGAAGGCACGATTAGTCTAATTATATTACTATGGACGCATTGTACAGCGTCGTCCATACAGCGTGTATAAGGCGGCAGCGGGTGTTGATGCATTTGGAAACGACAGCGGCAGCGATCATGTGACCGTTTTTTCCGACTCGTCGCATGGCGGCAAAACTCTCTGTATAGTGCGGACTCACTACATTACCCGCGCAGACATATTGTGGCGAATGTCTATGCATGGTCTACATTCTAGTTTCATATCTTTCTATTTTGGTTATATGTAGAAGATATTTGTATTATATATTATATATTATATTATATTATTTTATATTATATTATAGTGTAAGTAGTAATAGTATAGTATGTATGTATAGTATAGTTATAGTATAGTATAGTATACGTATAGTTATAGTACTAGTATACGTATAGTATACGTATTATACGTATAGATATATAGTTAGTATAGTATAAGTATAGTATAGTATAGTATAGTAAGTATAGTATAGCTTATAGTATAGTCAGTATAGTTAGTATAGTATAGTAGTGAATAGTAATAGTATAGTATAGTAACGTTATACGTGATGTATAGTATAGTATAGTATAGTAAAAGTATAAGTATACGTATAGTCTAGATAGTATAGTATAGTATAAGTATTAGTATAGTAAGTATAGTATAGTATAGTATAGTATAGTACTAATATAGTAATACGTATAGTATATATAGTATAGTATAGGTATAGTATAGTCATAACGTATAGTATAGTAATAGTATACTAGTATTTATATATAGTCTAGTTAGTATATGTATAGTATAGTATAGTAAAGTATATATAGTATATTAGTAAGTAATAGTATAGTATAGTATAGTATAGTATAGTATAGTATAGTATAGTATAGTATAGTATAGTATAGTATAGTATAGTATAGCATAGTATATTCGCACGTATATCGCGTCTATGTGTATATGGTTAATAATATACTGTATGCGTTTCGGCAGAGCAATGGCCAAGCTGAGGGAAATCCAAACATTATTTAATGCATACACGTTACGAAAATAAAGAGTTGAGCTCATTAATAACACACCGGTAAGAACAGGTTGCTGCCGAGTGAAGAACCAGCTTCATATTTGTTTGAATGTTTGAATGTTTGAATGTTTTTTTAAGTTTAAGGTTTCGCTACCGCTTGGCGCACGAATCATTGGCGATCACATCCAATTATAATAATGTAGAAACTTGATTACAGCGACAAGCGCAGTTGGATCATCGGTTATCTACGGGCACGGTCGCAACACAATAACGCATACAACATTTTAGTCGGCATAGTAGTTATTATGTCATACGCTTCCGGCTATATTAATTATGTTCTCAAGTGAACATATATGCAACGCCGACGACGACGACGACGTTGACAACGACGACGACGTTGACGACGACGACGTTGATGACGACGACGACGCTGACGACGACGACGACGTTGACGACGACGACGACGTTGACGACGACGACGACAATAACGACAACGATGTTGATCGTTAACAAGATGGCGATGATGATGATGATAATGACATTAATAATGATGACGACGACGGCGACGACGACGACGACGACGACGACGACGACGACGATGATGATGATGACGACGACGATAATGGTGATGATGATAATGACGATAATGATGATAATGTAGACGACGATGAAGATTATGCAGATGGTGGTGTGAGCCAGAGTGAACGTTATCGCCTATTAATGCGACAATCAATTAAAATTCAATCTGCATGGGGTCGAACCTCACGATGGGTTGAACGCCCACTTATGACATGACACCCACTGAACTTTAGCGTGGTGGTAAGCAACTAACTTCCTCGTTATTTCATTATTTCATTCATTATAAATAATCGCATTTTCTCCCCTTTCTCTTCGCCAGGTTAAAATTTGGTTCCAGAATCGGCGCAGCAAGTGTAAGAAGGTGATGAAGCACGCGCAGGCGAACGGCCAGCCGATACCGTCGATGGTACCTGCCAGCGCGCTCATGCATCCACCTACCAGCTCGTCCGCCTCGCTGTCGCCCTGGGACCAAGGTACCGACAGGTCGAACGAGAGTCCGGGCGAGTACCGGCCCATGCCGCCGCAGTACCCGTGGCCGCACCTCCAGGGCGCCTACAACGACGCCAGCGCCCCTCTCGATCAGTCGCCCGGACCGAGCTACGCGGCGTCGATAGGGGGTCCCGAGTACGGAGTACCGCAGAACAACACGGCGAACGCAACGTCGACACCAGGGGGCGTGTACGCCGGCTACGCTCACTGCAACGACGCCGGCAGCACCGGCGCACGCAATGACATGCCGTCCTACGGACAGCAAGGATCGTCCACACCCGGCTCAATATCGCCTTCTCACAGTAGCCATACGGACGGTGGGCCGCCTTAACGACAAACAGTATATATATATATATATATATTAAAATTCGATAATACAACGATATTTTTTACAAGGGAATTTTCCAAAGGTTGTGTATGTGTGTGTGCGCCAGTGCTCTGAGACAGCATGTACTATTGCAATACGACAGAGATGATGGCGCGATATTAGTCGCCATGTTCAGTGTGCAGCCGTACTAAGCACGCAACATAATGGCGGACGCCCCATCGTCTTACAGTTTCGATTTTATTGTCAGGTATTAAGTATATAATGTTCAACTGATCGTGGCCTTCCGATCGTGTGTTTCCACATGCACACACGCGCGCGCACGCACGGACGAGTGCCTTACACAAGCTGTTTACTGTTCCATTTGCAATAGCAGGCAGTATCCGCAGGTCTCTCTCCAAATTCTAGCATACAGATTCATAACACTAACCTCACAACACGGTTGGTGTTGTAATTTCGACAATAATCTTGGCTAGGCATTTATAGTAACTTTAGGATTCAGAATGACAGTTATCACGCGCTATTCGTTATTTACTATCAATTCTGCCTTTATTAACACAGATAACAAACTGTCCGCCATTTTGTAGCGAAAACATGACGAAATTGGGCATTTCGAATTTGTGTCTATTCTAATTTGGATTATAGACGCCATGCCGGATGAGAGCCGGATCCTTAATGGGATTTTAGGTTTTAATATTTCACTTGCAGTGTATGTTAGATTTCCGAAAAGCTTCGGGATAATTTTTTTTATAAATAGAGCCAGTTTTCTGAAATCATTGCTCTGATAACGTGCACATCGACAGTGCGTAAACGATTAGTCATATTTGTAAATTAGTCCTGCTAATAATTATCTAAGGACGTTCAGTTGTTTCCGTCTCTCTGATCTTCACGGGTACAGACATACTGCTTTGAAAAGCGCGTTATTCTTTAAGTTACTTATATAAAGTTATACCTTCGTTTTATGCGTGATGTAAATTTGGTATGGAACCAAGAACTACGGAAACTACGGACGATATATATATATGTGTGTATGTATGTATAAATATATATATGTATATGTGTGTATGTAT